GGCCAAACAACTTTCCTATATACCCACTTTTGACCACATTAAATTTTACCAGTTGCACATGTTAGCAAAGTTTACTGTACCTTGGTACATTCCCGGAAGAATAACTGTAGTTCCGACTTTCAGTACCCGAGTTCTGAGCCTGAGCTTGGGCATTTCTTGGATAGTTATAAGACCTGCGCCTCTCATTCCCGTGTTTTTCCTTCGCCGTTTTCCCCATTACTGAAACATAAGCGTAAAGTTGGTGTTTGGTAGTTCTTCTTACTTTTATAAATACCCTACCCACACCTTATAATACAAAACTGTGCAACATACCTGCAACAACTGAAATACAAATACCATCAAACGACCTGACACCATATACGCTTCCTCCTCCTCACAGATTATACTAACAAGCCAAAATGGTGGCCCTTCGAATACTAATACCAACAATACACGGTGAAAGTATTCTGCCATTTCAGATTTTGTTCATCACTTCTACTGTAATTAAAATATACAGTATGAGTAAATCTTTTGAGAGGGATATAATTAGATTAAAGTTATGAATACCGGTATTATTATTATTAATGTTATACTAGTGAATGTTATTTTTAATATTATTGGTATCAATGTTCAAGAATTGACAGCTACATGAATAATTTGACGCTATCCCAAATGTAAGATTCACTGACACAAAGATGCTGCTTATGTGGGTAGAATCGGCAACTTGTAGTACCACACACTTATAACAAACATTCAATAGCATAATGTTGAAATACAAATAAATGTTCATGTAATGTGTTAAATGTCATATTTGTAGAGCGTCCCCCGGCAATTATTTGATAACTTTTTTTTTTCATTCCCGGGAATAAGCACGGTATGATTTGAACCAATCATGCTTTAGAATGTATTACTCCGATTTATTTTTAATGTAATTACAGAAATTTTACAAATTAATACATATTATTATGTAATATAAAGTGAAGTTTGTATATAATTACTAGTGATGGGTTATGTATCTTTTGGATTTCGTATGTATGAGTTGAGAATTAGAAATGCACGGCACTTTTTATTGCGGATGAATATATGAATTTGAATTTTGTGTGAATCTGTAGTTGGTGTTGGCTTGGGTTGCGTTGCGTTGCGTTGGTTGTTTGTGTGAGGAAATTAAACGTGTTTATGTTGTTTGAAGTTGTTGATATCAGAAGCAAGTTCATGACGATTGTTTATATTTAGCATTAAGTGTAACTAGTAAGAGACTTTCTCTGGCTGCTTGTCGGTAGTGAAACTTCACACTACTGAAGAACAGCAGATAAACACATGCAAGTTGTGTTACCAAAAAGTTGCTGATGTTGGAAGGGTTTACCACATCTGTAAACAAAGGGAAAATTTCCTTTGATTATATAGTAAATCAACTATAACACTTTCCTTGATAATCTTAAAGAGGTTTCCATTCCATGTTTTTAGCATGGTTTAGTAGTTTTTATTAGTACTGTTATTTATATGTGGTTTAAGGATGCTCTCAGCTGAGACTAGCATCAGTATTGGCTTTCAGTTGTTCCAGCATCCGCACTTGATTTATGGGTATCTTTACTGAAAGTATTATGAATGTGATTAAGTGACTTGTTCAGACAATTAAATAAATTCTAGTAGTAGTAGTAGTAGTAGTTTAGTCTCACATGGTGTTCAGTTATGGGAGAGTATCAAATCATATTTCTTCTTATTCCTGATGCTATAATTACCCATTATTCACACTGGGACTACTTTGTTATGCGTTTCAGAGAGTGCACCCTGCTGGATATTATCATTTGTGGCCATTCGTTTGTGTACAGTAGGAGTTACTAGTATAGGTTCTGCAGTTGGGTGAACTCCAGTGTGTGTTAAATATCCTGTTTCAGTACATAATTCTTTCTTCTGTGTAAAGGCATTGACCATGTCCTTTGGAAATATATGTTTGTGTGCCAAATCAGCAAAGTACCAATTCTTCACCCAGGTTTGATTAAAACAGACTGCAGATATAATTTAAATTGTCAATTTGTAAAGATTGCTACTGTGTGTAGATTAGTGTGGTCTTGTAGGATTTGAGGTTTTCACAGCAGTGAGTCTGAAGATTGCTGTCTTTTGAGTTTGTCTGTTTCATAAACTGTAATAGAGCACATCAACCACATAACTGATACTTAAAAAGTTAGAGCATTGCAAGAAATAAATGTGCATTCTAAAAACGAAAGTCTGTGATGTATGTTTTTTTCTGTTATTGATCACCATCGTGCTGCATTGTGATGAGGTTTATAGTTTTTGATCACCGAATTTTATAAACACCAAGAGGGCTCTTTATCCTCTTATTTAATACATGAAAGTTAGTGCATAGCAATAAACAAGAAGTTTGAGTTAAAAAATGGATGTTTTGTCATAATGGCAAAACAGCAGTTGTTTATATCATTTCTGGTGTTCCAGTGAGATTATGAGTTTCTTTCAAGAGCAGTTATAACTTAGTAAAGCAACTTAATGTGTACCAGTTAGCTGGAATTTTGATTCTTGGTAGGTGCAGGGTGTTGAAGTTACCATACCTCCATGTAGTATCAAGATTAGGGAATGCATTGAGCTTTAACTACACAACTCCTTCCTCTGTATTCAACTTGTTGACATATTGCTAATACTAGTTGCCATGTTACCATAAAGGGTAAAGTTGAAGTTCTCATATCTTTACCTTTTGTTCTCATTTTCCTTATGTTAGCAAGGTTCATAATACAATTTTATATGTGTTTGTAAGTTGCTTGTTAGAATCTTTATTTCTTAGAAGGTTGTAATATTTTTAAGTACTTCTTGATAAATTTTGTTGGTCTATTGACATGTTCATGTGAAGGTCAATCCCATTTATGTTGTTTATAGTATATCTTCTTTGCCAAAATCACTACATGTAGTAAAATTGTACTGTTCTCGCATTTTCTATTTTTCATGACTACTGTTTTTTTGAGGCGTGTTATGTATTATCACTTTATTTTTCCTATAGCTTACTGTTGTATTGGTCATCACCATATTGTTGTGATCCACACTTGTAAAAAATGATAGCACGTGGACATTTAATCTTTATAAAGCATAATGGCAGAGATGGATCGATCTATCCTGTTACAACACCAACCTGCTCTGTTGGTAGAGGATACGACAATGACATAAGAATTTATGTGCAATCTGTCTCTGAAGTGCACTGTGAAATTTGTACATCAGATTTTCAACCGGTAAGAGACCTAAGAGCATCAAGGAATTGCATGAGGAAATGATTGTTGTAAAGTAGTTTCATTTAAGAGTCTAGATAGATATATCTCTTGGAACTGAAGGAGTGAGTTTTAATCTGTAATTTACACATTTGTAGTACCATACCTGTTAAGTAACTTTACTAGCAAACCAATTTTCTTTCTTTTTCTTACAGGCAGTACTGAAGAATTTAAGCAGTATCAATCCCACTAAAGTTAATAATGTGTCAATTCGTGAAAATGAGCACTATCTAGAACATGGTGATATGATAACTACCGGTGAAAGGTAAGGAGCTCTTTGAAAAATTTTGCAACGGTATAACTGTTTGAGTGAAATTTTGGTGTAATGAATGCCAGTATATCGAAATGTTTGAAATATTATTTCTTAGCAGAGTATCATATATTCTAGTGGTAAAATGGTTCATGATAATGAATGTTGGTATAACAAAATTTCAACATATCATAGTAATGCCCTTTCCCAGTTCAGAAAAATTGTTCAAATATGAGATATTTGTTAATATGTTTATTTAGAATGTTTTAACCTTTCCCAAGTAAACACAGTGCCTGAAATACAAGTGGTGTTTCAGAATAGAGTATATCTGTTGGCAATATGTGTTAGAAACCGTGCATTTTATAGACATTCTCAGCTTTCTTAATTTGTCCGGTATGTAATGTGGCACATGTCTGATGTGCCATGGAGCTTTAAGAATTTTGTTAGTGTGAGTTTAATTTGTCAATTTACAAAATTTTGTTATCGTGCGATTTACTGTAGTCGAGCCTCTAGGAAACGATCTTTTGCCAAATGGTTTGCAAAGTTTGACTTATTTATGTTTGTTAGATGGAGCATACATATTATGTAAAGTACGTAAATTAGACTTAAGTTATTACAGAAATAGGATTTATAATTGAAATTATATACTGTAAACATTGTTTAAATATGAGACGAAGAGTCTGCTTCAAATTGTCTACTACAACTACATAATAAGTAAATGCATGTCCTAACTATATAAAAAAAACAATAGGCATCAGAAGTGGTGTATGTATATAACTGTTTGTTCTTATGGTAAATCTGTACAATTTTCTGTCATTATTATAAAGGACTTTAATACTGCAGTGTGAAACTGCATTTTAAAGCAGTTTGAGACTAATTTTGCTTGAATATAAAATAGCAATTTTTTACAGGTCTTTTCGATGGGAATACCTCCCAGGGTCTCAATATTACTTGCCTACTAACACAAAGAATGCTAAGCCTCTTTCGATGTCCCCATTGCGTGGAAGTACTGGAATGGTTGGCATGCCTATGTCTGCATTACAAAGCACCCTAGGCAGCCAACCTTTTAGTAGACGGTCTGCAAGAGGTAATACTATGTTTATGTTGATTGAATGGATTTTGAATTGAAAGATTGTCTTGAAATTTGAAGGAAGTTTTTCCCCCTCATATATGTTATTACTCTTCTCAGAGCACTTGGTTATCTATTTTCTATGAACCTTTTTATGATGTATATGCAGCATTCTTAAAATTAATGAATAACATATTTCTATTGCTTTATCTTTCAAACTTCTTTTCTCTGTGCTAAATACATGTTCAACATGAAGTAAGGTGTTCCTGACATCTGTAATTCCCTATGCTGATTTGTTTATTGTTTTGTAGTTAGGATAAATGTCATAAGATGGTTTGCTAGTGCGTATGAAGAGTGAAGATTGTAAAGTTCATTGTAATGCTGATCATTACTGTAACACATTGTGGATTATCTAGAAAAATAGAAATGAGAGCTTGGATTATAAGCATTACAGTTCAAATCTGCTGTGACTATTTATTAGATTTGTTTCCTTTGTTTGCAAAATGTATGTTATTGGTTCATTTCAATTTTTAGTTTAACTTGTCTTATTTATATCGGATTTGAGACTTTCCCGGCGAGTACAATCAATTAAATCTTCTTGTGCAATCAGTCACATTAACTGGTTACGCTAGTAAACCGATGTTTCGGGAACCAATCCATGGTTCTCATGTGACAGTTAACGCGGCTGATTGCCCGAGAATATTTTATTGATGTCTTATTTCTGTTTTTCAGATAAGAAGATAAAATTGTCTCCTGCCTTAATGGCCTCAAATGGACAAAGTGCATCTAAACGTCTTGTTGCTATTGTTAGTCCACAAAGAAGACCACAGACAGAGAAGAAGGTACTAGTGCATATTGTTGAAACCAAAGATGGTCAATTTTACATATGATCCATAAGTAATCTGTGTGTGTCTCAACCAGCATGCTGTGACAGTTTGACTTCAAAAGTGTTTCAACACATTAGAAGTGTGGTAATAATAGTGAGATTCCTTTAGTCTTTATTGCACTATAGCTGCCTTGATAATTTTCAGTTTGTCATACACAGCTTTTTCAGAACGGACAGTTGTAGTATTAATGTGTCCATTTGTTGTTTATTATTGTCCCTAACTTGTTACACTGCTAATTCTTTTTTGAACTGTAATACATATTATATATATAAATGGAAAACATATCCATGTATGAAGGGATTTTAAATGCGTGCATACACACAACTTAATAATGATACATTATTTTCTGTGACTTGATATTTGCCTGTATTTTAGTGTGTTGCCAAGTGAAACACTATTGTGATCGAATAATTTGGTTACAATATATCATCTGTTAGATGTGTATAATTTCCGTCTTTACTGGACATTTCCTTTCTAGTTTAGGTTGTAACTAGGTTGGTGGCAGGTAATAGAACACCAAGTCAAGAAACTGTAGGCATTGGCACTGTAGTAGTCTCGACCTTTTCATTGATCCCTCAATTGAAACAGAGAAGTCCTATGGTGAGACAGCAATGTTTTTACTCCTTTATGTTAGCATACAAAAGAATTTGATATGTGAACATTGCACTGTATTTCAGTGTGGGGAGATGCTGTTCAGGTAATTTGGCACTCACACTTAGGGGTCATTGAATTTCATAAACAGCAGAATTAAGCAGTATTATTTAGTCCAGTGTTGGGATTTCTTTTTCATACATAACCTGAGTAAACACAACACATAATAAATGTTAATTTGTTGTTATCCTTTCTTGTGGAATGTGGGTGGAAGTATCACAACAGGTTTTCAAGGGAGTTGGATATAATAAGATTGAAATTGGGGTTGATATCCGCAACGTATGCATTCTTCGACCCAGGTTCTATAAAAATGAATAATTTTGAAGTAATTAATTTAAGGTGTTTTTTATGTGCTACAGTGTTAAGAAACATTCAGTGTTTATAAGTATATGTAGTTTTTTCCTTAAATTTGGAATTGAGGTGCTTTCCTGAATTGCAAAAAAATTGTAACAAAATTTGTTTATGAAACATGAATTATGGGCCCAATACACTTTTTCAATAAAGTTTCTTGTTTTATGGTAATGAAACGCGATTTTTGTGCTGATGTTATTTCATCAGGGTATAATGTCCCACTGAGATGCTGATGGTTGACTGTGTATATTGTAATAAAAAATTAAAATATCAATGAGCTTATAGGACTGTCCTGTTGTTTACTTGAAATAAGCCAGCCTTTAAATTAAATTTTGTTTGTGTCTCTGTCAGCACCTAAGTAGCACAGGCACACTTGTAAATCCATAAGGGTTAGGACAGTAATATGACTGTTTCAATAGCAAGGAGTGTTTATCAATGCACTACCAAATAATATGAAGTAGAGAAACAGATGCTTGTATTATTAAATGAGGTATCAGAACACTGACCAGTTCATAGTTTGTTAGACCTGCCAGCTGGTAGAGGGGGACCTGGTTTATGAGGACAGGTTATATATTTTTGAACCTGTGGTACAGTGAGTTAAAAAATTTGTGCCATTATAAAAGCATATATATTCCAGTTTTTCAAAGAATAATAACAAATGGTAACAAAAAAGAATAGCTACTGGATGGATTACTTAGAAATTCTTAATAGTCTGCAATTGTTCAGAGACTCGGATTAAAAGTATGATCAACAGACTGCAATAAATTCACTCTTGGCATTTAAATGATGACTCAATCCAGCTGTTAGCTTTGTGATAGTAAAATTTAAAGTACCGTGTAGTGCAGAGTGTGAAAATATATAACATTATTACCAAGGAATAATCGTACACCTGCCTATATAAAACTAGGAAGCTCCCAAATGTTGAGTAATGCCAATACATATGAATCTGGAAGGGAAAGGATCCTATCTTTATTATCAGTGTCAAGTTAGCACCAGATTTTAACTTCCTGTTGCATCCAACTTTGATTTCTGAATATATTGCAGGAAGGTGTTGTGATCTCAAAGTGTGTTAACAGAAAATGGGATATGCCTGCTGAATTACAATTTTATTACAGAAAAACAAAACATGAAACAATACAGAGCATATGCAATCACTTGTAATATACTATTTAAATGTTAAAGACTCAGGTAATTTAAATAAAATAATAATACACTGACACTATGCACATGTGAGTACACCTACACCTTCACAAAAGGCTATGAGAGGACAGGCCAAACAACTTTCCTATATACCCACATTTCATTTTACCAGTTGCACATGTTAGCAAAGTTTACTGTACCTTGGTACATTCCCGGAAGACTAACTGTAGTTCCGATAAGTACCCGAGTTCTGAGCGTGAGCTTGGGCATTTCTTGGATAGATGTAAGGCCTGCGCCTCTCATTCCCGTGTTTTTCCTTCGCCGTTTTCCCCATTACTGAAACATAAGCGTAAAGTTGGTGTTTGGTAGTTCTTCTTGCTTTTATAAATACAATACCCACACTTTATAAAACAATACTATGTAACGGTACTTGTGGGTTATCGGGACACATCGCTTTAACATCTCATGCATATCCAAATAAAATATAATATCTTTCAACAATATGTCATTTATCCATACACATTAACCTAACCTATTTTTAAAGTGATGTGTCCAGATCATACCTGCAACTGAAATATATATGCAGGTAGCTCTTGATTTACACCCGGGATGCGTTCCTGGACGAAGCGGTGTAAACGGAATCGGCGTAATTGAAACACCTTTATAATGTAAATCAAAGACAACTCAATAACATGCGTCTCCAGCACCCAAAAATTGACGAGTAATATAATGGCATTTCATTTAAAGCTCTTCTTCTTCTTCTATGGCTCTCCGGTCCGCGTTCGGTCCATGGCCTCCTCAATTCACCTCTTCCATTCGGTCCTATTGTTAGGTCCATTCTATCCGAGGCTTTGATTGAGGTTTCGAAACATCTTCCTTTTTACGGTGCAAGGTCGTTAGCCTTGCGACCAACCCCCAACCTGGAGGACCAGGGTACCTGTCTTAGTCT